TGAGGCAGGAGAATTGCGTGAACCCAGGAGGCGGAGGTTGCGGTGAGCCGAGATCGCGCCATTGCACTCCAGCCTGGGTAACAAGAGTGAAACTCCGTAAAAAAAAAAAAAAGCCTTATTCTCAATATAGGACTACATTTACCACAGAAGACCATCTCTTTATTTTTATCTCAAATTTACTTTTGCTCATTCAAGTATCTATTATTCTTCTTGCTACCCACTTTCCCCACAAAAGATAAAAAGCAATAGAAAAAGTACCACAGCCCACTCACACTCCTAAGCTGAGGCTGGAAGGAAGACATCCAATTTTACATCTTAGGCCCCTGCTAAAGTTATACCTTGTCAAGCCAGGTTCCTTCTACTACTAAAGATCCCTTAACACCTGGGTAGTCTTACTGATTAGGTTTATACTCTGGAGGAAGAAATGGAATAAGAATAAAAGCAAAGAAAATCAAACAATTAACCTGCTGGGGGTTCCCCTACTCATAAAGATCCTAAGGATGCCAGGTGTGGTGGCTTATGCCTGTAATCCCAGCACTTTGAGAGACTAAGGCAGGTGGATCACCTGAGGTTAGGAGTTCAAGACCAGCCTGGCAAACATGGTGAAATCCCATCTCTACTAAAAATACAAAAATTAGCCGGCATGTTGGCACGCACCTGTGGTCCCAGCCATTCGGGAGGCTGAAACACGAGAACTGCTTGAACTTGGGAGAGGGACAGTGAGCCAAGATGGTGCAACTGCACCCCAACCTGGGTGACAGAGTGAGACTCTGTCTAAATAAATAAATAAATAAAGATCCTAAGCAGAGTTGAGCATGAATCTTTGTCCTGCTAGGCCAGTCTCACCCCCTTATCAAAGAGAGACATTCTCTGCCAGAAAAAAAAAAAATAGTTGCTATGAAGAACATTATTGAGGCAATTGATAACATTATGGTCTCTGTAGTAGATAAGAGTATTACAGCAGTCCTCCTTATCCACAGGAAATATGTTCCAAGACCCCAGGGAATGCCTAAAGCCCTATATACTCTGTTTTCTTCCTATACATACATACTTACATAAGTTTAATTTATAAGTTTGACACAGTATGATATTAACAACAACCAATAGGACAATTATAACAATATACTGTTCAAAATTTTACAGATAAAAGATTCTTCTTTACTGTAGATCTTAGCAACTGCAACATGTTTTTTTATTCTCCCCTTTCCTTATTAAGTTGAGAAACTTTCACCCTTTCACTTAAAGGTTCTTTTTGACATATCTGAATTGCCAGGACCATCACTCTTGCACTTTGGAGCTATTATTAGATAAAAATAAGGGCTACTTGAACACAAGCACTGACATACCGAGACAGTGCATCTGATAACAGCTACTGAGTAGCTAATGGGTGGGTGTATCTACAACATGGATACACTGGACAAAGGGATGATTCACATCCCAGGCAGGTCAGAGGGGACAGCGAGAGATTTCGTCACATTGCTCAGAACAGCATGCAACTTTAAATGATTGTTTATTTCTGGAAATTGCCATTTAATATTTCAGACCACAGTTGATCATGGGTAACTGAAACTTTGGGTAGGGGGAACAACTGTATATATGTGTTTGATATACTGAATGTAAAACTGTACCCTGATTAAGAAAATATCCTTCTTAGAAGATGCACAATGAGCAGAGGAGCACAATGTATACAAAATACTTTCAAATACTTCAGAATATAGATATATGTATGTGTATATATGTGTGTGTTTACAGAGAAAGAAAGAAAATGATAAAATAATAAACAGGGAGGTTGGGTGAGGTGGCTCACCCCCTGTAATTCCAGTACTTTGGGAAGTCGAGAAGGCGGATGGATCACTTGAGTCCTGGAATTTGAGACTAGCCTAGGCAACATGGTGAAACCCTGTCTTTACAAAACACACAAAAAATTAGCCTGGCATGGTGGGGTGCATCTGTAGTCCCAGCTACCGGGCAGGCTGAGGTGGGAGAATGTTTTGAATCTAGGAGGTTGAGGCTGCAGTGAGCCATGATCTGGCTGCTACACTCCAGCCTGGGCAATTGGAGTGAGAATCTATTTCTAAGTAAACAAATAAATAAGGTAAAATTTTTTAAAATAATGTATCTGGATAAAGAATATTTATGAGTTCCCTGAATTATTATCACAATTTTTCGTAAGGTTGAAAATATTTCAAAAAAATTGTTTATTTTAAAAGAGAGAACTTACATGGTGTTCCTTGAGGTACCAACACCTCTGTGACTTACCTACATACCTAAGCAGCTTCAAAGATTCTTGTGTCCTCTCGTTTCCCAAGTTCTTCCCTCCCAGGGTTTCCTTCTTTGTGAGCAGTGCCCTGGCTGCTAGTCTGAAGAAAAATGGTTATTTCCTGGGTGTCCACGTGCTCTTAAACACACACTTACTTCCTAAACCCACTCCCCCTTTTGCTTCGTCTGCCTGGCACTGAACAAACACACTCAGCCAATTCTTCTTTCTGCTCCCACAAACACTTTGAAGTGAGGCTATTTGGGCACTGAGATGGATCCAGACACCCAAGACAGGAAATGTCTCCAGCCTGGGAAACTGCAGACCGTCTTGTTTCCTGGAACAATTGTTCCACTCCTGAGTTACACCCACTACCATGTGGTTTATGCAGCCTGACCTTGTGCATGAATTTCAAATCTAGTCCTTTCTTATATTTGCCAGTCTTCCTTTAATCCTTTCCTATAATTTCTGCAAAGTCAAGATCTTTGGCCTTCATTTGGCCATCTCTCCAATATGATTATTTTGCTTTTCACACTTTACAAGTGTATCACGACAGGGTTTAGAGTATTTGAGTCAATCATGAGTTTTCACATGTCTTTACCTATACTTTTATCCAGTTGTCCACTCTCCACTCCCAATTTTCCATCCCCCAGCCAATAACCATATTCCCATAAGAATATTCAGATTTTGCAAATCTGATCATTTAGCCCTAGATAGGAGACTATCCAAAGCAGCACTGTCATTATCAGTCCCTATAGCCTGGGTGAATAAAACCAAGAGGGTTGCAATGTTGATCCTAAGGTTATTCTTTAGCTGAAATTGATATTATGAGATAATATTTTTTAAATCACCTTGGAGACTCTTAAGGCACTAATAAAAATCCTCTGTAGACATAAACAAGATCTTTTAAGATGTTTTCCTAAACTGTGTTATAAAAAAAATAAAAATAAAAGATCTTTTCCTTCAGGCAAGAGTTTTCAAATGGTGGTCTAAGAGCCACTTCTGTGATCTACAAAGTCAAATGGGCTGACTTTTTGCAGTGCTGATGTTTATAATTTGCGATAATAACAATAACAGCAACTACCAGTGTGGAGCACTTCCTTTGTGCAAGGCACTTATTGCATATTGCCCTCACAATATGCTCGTGCTATCCCTCTTTGGTGTCAATTCTGCCCATTTATTCTGGTGAGGTCTATTTGCAATGTGAAAAGAAAATCAAGAATTCTCTGCTGAGCCCAGTAGCAGTCTAAGGTCAACAGGGGTAATATATTCAACAACCACACATCACGTGCTTCTTTATAACTGGATTGTTTTGTTACTACTAGAGACTGTTTGAAATTAACTTTTAATTAAATAGAAAAAACCTAAGTCTGTATAAGTATAACCTTTAGACTGGGTAGGTTTTTATTTTCTGTATTTTTTCTTTTTCCAGACTACAGTTTTCTCATCTTCTAAATTTGAATAGTTCTTGGACATAAAATGGCTTATAACACTAAAAAAAATTTTTAATAATAAATGAATAAATTTGGATAATAGTAGCACTTCACAGGGCTGTTGTAAATATTATATAACATACTGCATGTAAAAGGCTAAATGTATTAGTTGTTGTTGTTATTGCTCTTACATAGCAATTACCAACACATGCTCATTACCTTCCCAATCAATATCACTTTCCTGTTTAGAAATAGCACATACTAAGGACTGTAGCTACCAACACTGCTCACTGTTTCTCCTAGAAGAGTCAACCAGTATCCTGGAATCTCAGAGGAGGCATTATGAGAAGGCTGATATAGGATGACCCTTCATTTCACAAATAAAGAAGTGGCTCAAGTAAGTTAATGTCCCACAAGCTATCGATAAGTAATAGTAGTCCTGATACTAAAACCCCTGACTTGTAGTTAAGCAAAATGTGTTACAGATAAATAGATAGCTGGTGGCTAAATGATAGATAGGTAGATAGACAAACAGGTGTAAAGAGATAGAGGTAGAAAAGATTGAGTTTAAAACTGAACCTTATAGTTCTCCCAGCTTATTTCCTAGAAAGAGTTTTCAGGCTGTGGCACAGAGAGGGAGACCCGGGGAGGGTCTGTCAGTCTTCCTGAGCTGAGGAGACAAAACTGGGGGTCCAAGGAAGCCAAAGCAACTAGGGTTCACAGAGCACAGTACCAGAGAGGACAGAAGTGCAGAGAGAACTTCAGAGAGCTGGAGGGATGAGATATCACTGCGTATCTATCAGAATGGCTAGAAAAATTAGCAAAAATACCAACTGCTGGCAAGGATGCAGAGAAACCGGGTCTTGCATACGTCGATTGTGGAAATATAAAATGTGATGGCCACTCTGGAAAATAGTTTGTCAGATTCCTTTTTTTATTGATACGTAATAGTTGTACATATTTATGGGGTTTTGATACATTCATACAATGTTCAATGATCAGATCAGAGTAATTGGGATATCTGTTACCTCAAGCATTTATCATGTCTTTGTGTTGAGAACTTTCCAAATCTTCTAACTATTTTGAAATATACAATAAATTATTGATAACAATGCCGTCCTGCTGTGCTACTTAACACTGTAACTTATTCCTTCTAACTCTGTATGCTTACTGTACAACCCAGCAATTGCACTCCTTGGGATTTAACCCAGAGGAATGAAAACGTATGTTCATATAAAAACCTATATAGAAGTAAAATAGCAGTTTTATTCTGCTGGGAATACTGTGGACCCCTCTGTGGTGACTGAGTTACCCCAAGCTTCTGGAAGAATTGGCAAAACCCCAACTATCTGAAATAACAAGAAGAAATTGTTGTTGATTTTTAACTGGTAAATTCTTTTAGAATTTGGTTTCCCGGAAAGGATTTATTTGCTTTGTGATGCTTGTTACTTACTGTATCGATTATATTTGAGAAAATGAAGAGTAACATGAAAAGCTGAGATGTCACTTGTAACTTTGGCTCTGCTGAGATGTAATTTGTAAGTTTGGCTCTGCTGAGCTGTTCTTAAAGCAGGAACTCTGTGAAAGGGACTAACCACATAGCTTGACTGCCAGAGAGAGATGACAGCACATAATAGGCTTCTCATTGCAGAGAGCCTATAAACGGCCGTGTAATCGAGAGGCTTATTACCCAGATTCCTTTCCCAGGAAAGGCATATTGATTATGGCTCCGGAATGCAACCCTTATGGAGAGCCTATAAACGGATGCATGAGGGGACGTCTGTCATGAGGAAAAACCTCTGTGGTTGAGATAAAGATGTAAAAGTCTTCCTTCTCCCTCTGCTCCTCCAGGCCTGCATGGAGGCCCCCTCCTCTTGCAGCTTTGTGGTCAGGCTGGTTGTCCTGTGTCAAATCCTGTTCCCCCTGCAGCTGTGAGCCCAATATGTTCTTGCTGATAGTCATGTTTATGTTTAACCTCTATTCTTGCTAAGGTGTTTGATTTCTATGCTGACACACAGAAAGTTATCTTTACATTGTTCTGCTTTTATAATACCACGTTGTGATTTTTGTGCACCAGTTTTTGCAAATGTATTCTTTTTGTATAATTGTCACTGAAACTTTGCGTAAACTCACTCTGAAAGAGATCAATAAAAAACTAAGATTTTCAGGGGAGTGTCAGACAGCCACAGAGCAGCATTATGTGGTGTCTCCCCTGGGCCCAGCTTTAAGGAAAAATGTTTTCTTGTCTCTCTTTCTTTTTCACTGACCACTCGATCATGTTGAAAGATCTTGAATCCACATTGATATATTGGGAGCTGTTCTCTTCAACATTATTCATAATATTCAAAACCTGGAAACCATACCAATATTCTTCCATGGGTGATGCAATAAGCAAACTGTGGTACATGTACCATGGACTACAACTCAGCAGTAAAAAGAAATGAAATATTGATACACATGATAAATTAGATGCATCTTGAGGGCATTATGCAAGTTAAAAAAATATATCATCAAGTAGCCATATACTGTATGATTCCATTTACATACATGGAGAACAGATTCATAGTTGCAGGGGCAAGGATCATTGGGATAGGGATATCTGTGTGATACAAAGAGGTATCACCAGGTAGATCCTTGTGGTGATGGAATAGTTCTGTATCTTGATTGCAATGGTGGTTACAGGAATAAACACATAATAAAATGACTTGTAAGTACACACACACACACACACACACACACACACACACACATCACACTAATATTTATTTCCTGGTTTTGATTTTGTTGCACTCTTTAAGTAAGATATAATCACTGGGAAAACCTACATGGGAAATCTCTGTACTATCTTTGCAACTTCCTGTGAATCTATAATTATTTCAAAATAAAAAGTTTTTCAAAGTGTTAATGTTCATTACAGAAGTTTCACATAATAGTATAGAGAAACACAAATATACACATGAGACCCTCATCCTGCTGTTATTTACATTTTGGTGTGTATCTTTTCCTCCACCCAACTCAACTCCATGTTGATATTAAGTTCAACTTGTCTATTAAAACTACAAGTTGGCCTGGCATGGTGACTCACGCCTATAATCCCAGCACTCTGGGAGGCCGAGGCGGGTGGATCACGAGGTCAAGAGTTCGAGACCATCCTGGTCAACATGGTGAAACCCCATCTCTACTAAAAATACAGAACATTAGCTGGGCATGGTGGCACGTGCCTATAATCCCAGCTACTCAGGAGGTTGAGGCAGGATAATTGCCTGAACCCAGGAGGCGGAGGTTGTGGTGAGCCGAGATCGGGCCATTGCACTCCAGCCTGGGTAACAAGAGCGAAACTCCGTCTCAAAAAAAAAAAACTACAAGTTGGCCTGGCATGGTGACTCACGCCTATAATCCCAGCACTCTGGGAGGCCAAGGCAGGCAGATCACTTGAGGTCATGAGTTCGAGACCAGCCTGGCCAACATGGTGAAATCCTGTCTCTACTAAAAATACAAAAATTAGCCAGGCATGGTGGGCACCTCTAATCCCAGCTACTTGGGAGCCTGAGATAGGAGAATCTCTTGAACCCAGGAGTTGGAGGTTGCAATGAGCTAAGACCTCAGCATTGCACTCCAGCCTGGGCAAGAAGAGCAAAACTCTGTCTCAAAACAAACAAACAAAAC